CCTTGCAAGTACTAGACATAGTACAGCAAGAAGGATTGCCGGATCTCTTTAATCATCAATTATTTAGAGGCAGAGAGCCCCCACCTTCGGCTTCCCCAAAATAAAAATGAGAAAACTTCAGATACCACATCAGTACAGTTTGGCCCTAGCTGGCTGGACATGGCCTCCTTCTTATGTACTACATTTAATTTACCCTTTTACTAATTTAATTATTTTGTTTTTTTAGGAAAAAATATTAATTAAGCTCAAAAAATAAAAAATTACACAAAAATTTTACATCTATTTCACATTTCATCTAATCATATTGTTTAACTAATTTTTTTTTAAGAAATTATGTTAGCTTCAAAATATAACCATGAATTTGATTGAATTTATCCAAGTAAGTTGAAAAGGTCGTTTTAAGGTTTAATTTAGATTTATGATTGCAAGATTTTAATTGGAGTTCAATCATAAAAGGACATTCGATCACGTTATGATAGAAATCCTCTTCTTATGCATCCAATCAAACCTAATTCCATTCAAGCAAGTGACAAGTTGTATAAAGCATAAATTAATCTGACAGGTTATTAAGAAATTTGTGAAGAGTGGGATATTAACTATTGCGGTTTTACAGTAATTGCTTTATTGACAAGGCAAGTTTCTATTGGGACACGATATGAACCGTAGCTTACATTCCTGTTCAGGGTCCAATAATGTTGGTCTAGGTTCACTTCATTCACGGTCTCCCTTTCACACGCCCACAGAAAGAAGCTATAGATATTAACTCAGTTTTTCTTGATAAATGAAAACCAGAAAACTGTTTGCCCAATTTAGTATATTGATCTTTCCTTTTTCCTTAATTTCATTATGCTTGCTTTGCTATTTCTACTTCATAACAGTCAACACCCAGTTCTTTTTCTGATCTTTTCATTTGCAATCTCATAGGTTTTCATCTCTGTAGATGTCTAAAACTGATGATGCACATATTTGTAAGTGTTTTTTAATTATCGCTTGAATTCAATCATTTTGTTTGATTAAATTAGGGTTTCTCTTCCAGGGTTTACTCTTCTAGATCCTAGGATCTATCCCATGCAGCTTTATACTATAGTTGCCTGGCTGCTGCTTTTAGTGCTTTACATAAGGAATTGATGATATTTCCAATCTCTAGAAAACTTGTTAGCTGAATTTTTTTTAAGTGGTTGGTTAATTTGTTTGTTCAAATGGTGGAAAGCAGTCATTGTTTGCAAATGTAGCATCATCAAGATTCACATGCAACGTGTATATATAAAGGTATATATATGTATAGTTTGGGCCTGAGAATCCTGATGATGCTGCATTGGCAATGAATGGCTACAAGGACAACTGTGATCGATCGGTTACTGCCCTTCCATCCCAAAATGGTGATGATTTCTCTCCCATTACCAAGAAATTAAAATGCTAATTTGGATCTAAATTATCTAATCCTACTCCCAGTCTGTTTCTTTCTTTTTGATTGTTAGCTCAGGATTTATGTTCTTTTGAATTGCTAGCTAGCAGATGGATGAATCACTTGGAGCTTGGCATCATGGAGATCGGATTCATCGTATATGACAAATGATAAGGTGAGAAGGCTTTCCTTTTACTCACTGAATAGTATATGTCGACTGCTTATAATTTTAATCAATTTTCGAAAATTTTGAAGTCACTAAAATCTTTTGTCAATAATGAAATATTCTATCGATAATAAAGAGAGTTTAGGATAATCGGTTTAATCGATTAAATGTGAAATGGAAACATATTCGAAGTACAAATTACGCGATTCAATTGTGAATTATAAACCTTTCTCTTATAAGCATCAAAACAAAGTGATGAAAAATCTTAAATTCATAGGTACACTAATCTCATGGTTAGTACTTTTGAGGGTTGATTTTCTAATTAGTAACTTTTTTATTCTCAGTTTATTAACATTTTTTTATACAATGTTCAGTTTTCTGTTTCTACAAACCCTTTTTTTCACTATAATCATGCCATCAATGTTGTCCTTGGTAATACTGCGAGTGGGGCAAACCATTCTGGTCTGATCTCTGATCTGTTGCAGCACAGCAAATTTTTATTGATGTTCCTGTCTGCTTGTCAATCATGCTGTTCATGGGCATCCTTCTATAGTTGCTTCCATGCTTTACAACCGAATGCTCATTGTAACTCAAATTAATTGATATTCCAGGTGATCACATGCCCTTACTTTTAACCATCCAAATCTCAAGACTTGTTCAAAATTGCTGCATATAGAGTAGTATTAGTACAAGTAAATCAACTATTTCTTCACAAATATCTTATCATTCAAATATGTTTCCATTGAAAGTTAAAATAAATTCTGCCGACTTAAGATGGAAGGATGGAAGAACTATAACCAACCATACATCATCTTTTTCTTCTCAGTGCTGTTTAGGTATTCTTAATTATCTTCTACTTTCTCAACTATACACTTGTTCATTTTGGTTCGATTATATGTTATGCTTTTGAACATTTTATGGTTAATTTTATATATGCATACAAGGTTTATATATTATTTATAAGCCATCTACCTTCGAACATCAATTGTCTCAAATTAATTCATTATTGATTTCCCTTTCTATACATACATACATATATATATATATATATATTATAAAGAATGCTGCAGTCTTAGAATAGGAAGAATTAGAATAGGAAAGAATTAGAATAGGGAAAAGAATTACAGATGCTGAAATTTGAATCTCGAACTTATTAAATGGCACATCTTAATTTAAATTATGGATTCTCTATACAATTTTTTTTTTGCCAACCCTTACATATATATATATATATATATCTTTAATTTCATAAAGCAGCATATTTAATGTGCAAAGGAACTGTTTTGTTAATTAATCAATTTCATCTCTTCAGCTTCCTTAAATAATGAACAAACCCCAAATGAGATGTTGGGTCTCTTTACCATATCTACATCTTACATATGATACATATGAAATAAATGGTAGTAATGGGGTAACGTGTTCATGTAATAGATGGATATAGACGTGATTTTTATGTTCTAGCTTTTCTATTTCTATATAATAATGTCTTTGCTCTTAATTACATTTTCTGTATTTTCTTTCTCGAGTTGTTGTTGATTTGGATTCCTATACGTACATGAACACTTCAATATTTGAACCTGAAATATTTCAGAATCTCAACCCTTAAATTGTAGTATTATTTATTTTCTTTTCCCAATTTATGTGGCTAGACGACAAGCTATGGGCGATTGCTGCAAAAGTGAATGCAAGATTTGTACTCGATCTCTGGTTGTGTTGCTTATGTCAAATAAAATTAATGCTGTGATCAGAGAGCAGGGACATGGGGTTTGAAGGATTTTCCACCTTTTAAAAGTGCTTTCAAACTTGATTGAAGATGAGCTCATGACCTTTGTTTCATTTCTGCATGGATTTCTTAATTTAGATTTGTTGGTGTCTAACTGAGCTAATAAGAGTAAAATCCTGAAATTAGAAAGAAAGAGAAAGAAAGTTGTTAAAGATAAAGGATTAGAGTGGTTTAATGTTTGTGTTTTGAGGCTCAAATAAAAAATAGACAAAGAAGAATAATAGCAAGGAAAATATAAGAAAAATAAAAAAGGTAAGATGATGAAATGGTATTTGAATAGTTTTATCAGGACAACATGACAATTTGGATTATTAGAGATTAATTTTAAAGTTTAAGATAATTTGATAAATCGAATTAATTTGAAGCGTTGATTATTTATTTTAAAAATGATAACATTTAAAAGGATCCATTAAATAAATTAATGAAGTGATCAAATTGATGTTATTTCGTAAAATTAAGTCGGTCTAACATATCAATTGATTTAAAAATAAAAAATACTTATAAATGTTTGTCGACAATTTTTAATAGAGTTAAAAACCATTTTACCCTTATGTAATTGGTTGCTGTCATTGTGCTCGTTAAGAGCAGGATGTCAGTGTCTGCAAATTAATTATTCTTCATTTTAAGTAATTAAGACAAAACCACTCAGGACTTGATTTATCCTGCAGGAAACTACTCTATTGGTGCAAATGAAGAAATCAATTACTGAATGATCTGCTCATCAAAGACAGCAAACAACGTTGGGTACTTCTTCATGTTCTTCACAGGTGATATTACTTTTAGAACTTCGTACAGGAAAATAGGTGCTTAAAATCTTATAAAATCACAACGGAAAAAAGACTTCAGAAAATATGAAAAAGAGATGCCTCTACTGTTCACATCCAGGAAACGTACGGTTTGTTTAGTCACAATCAATTGGTAGGCTTCATATCTCTTCCAGCTCTGACATGTTCATCTGGTTAAAATTCTCAAAAGCTTTGATTGAAAAAACCAAAATTTGTCGACAAGAAAACAACTTCTGACTTGTAGCAAGGGCATGATTGATTGGGACAGCAATGACAATTTTTTACATTTGATTTATATCTTTTTGATGCATAAATAAAATATAAGTATTGGTATTTTTAAAAATTTTTCAAACCAAACACACTTTAAAGATCTTACCATGCGATCTATAATTAGATTGAAAAAAAAAATGAAAAGCAACAATTATGTTAAAACTAGTAAGCAAGATTTTGTATTAGTTTTTTTCATTTTTTGGTACAGAGGGCCATGGCCACAGTCATCCCGAGAATAAAAACTATAACTATTAAAATTTAAATATTATTTTTTAAAAATAATTGGATCAACCAACTTTAGACTCGGATTTTATATTAGTTAAGGCTTGTGTTTCTAATCTCCTCTCTCGCTCTATCATGTCTTACATTAAAAAAAAATACAATAATATATTTATATATATATATATAAATTTATACTTAAACTTATAAAGCATTTATTACGAGACAAAAACCGTAAAATTTATTGAAAAAATGTGAAGATATGAAATTATATAAATGTAAAAATCTAAAATTAAATTTATGAGATACTTTTTATAAGATAAAACTTTAAAATTTTCTAATCAAAACAATCTCGTAAATTAGATGCTGATCTCCACGCAAGTCCGCTTCAAGAGGTCCTCTGTCAAAATGCCTGTAATGAGGTATGAAGATCCTCCTTTGCTTACAGTCTACCTTGGCCAGCTCACTGTGTTGACTCACTCTCTTCCTCATTCGTTCCACCTCCTCACCCCATCTTCAACATAGTTACAACCTCCTTAACTTGCTTTCACTTAACCAAGACGCCAATCTTCTCCTCCTCTTCCCATGCCATGCCACTCTGAACACCTATTTCCATACCAATTCTCAACCGAGTCAATACAAATTTCTGATTATAAAACTGCTCAGCAAAGAGTCGCCATGTAATGAGTGGCACACCTGACCTCACTGATTCCAATACTGAATTCAACCCAGAGTGAGTCATGAATCCACCAACAGCAGGGTGTTTCAATATAAGAACTTGAGGAGCCTATCCATTTACAATAAGGCTATGCAAAAACCTACTTCTTTTATCATCTTTGATGACCCCAATGAAAGAAACCTTTGAAGCTTCAAGGCCTAAAGCTATCTCCAAAAAGCTGTGACTCAGCAAACTCACATAAACTCCCAAAGCAAACATAAAGTACGGACCATGTTATGAAACATATTATGAAGTCTAAACTACATACCAGTAAACAAGGGCAGCAGAGTAAAGGATCATTCAATTTATGTTTGAAGCAAACATTAATTGCAACCAGAACTATTGACCCCAGTTGTATAAAGGCTACCCACAAGTGAGCTATAAACTCTTTGATCAGGCATATGGCCCATACTGATCATCTCATTGTACAATCTAAATGCTTCATCTGATCTCCCATCCTTACACAACCCTGAAATTATTGCTGTATAGGTGACTACATTTGGAACTAGACCCTTTTGACACATTTCATTAAACAGTTTCATCGCCTCATCTACCTTACCATAATTACATTCACCATGCACAAGTGACGTGTATGTGTATATGTCTGGAATTCTCCCCTTGGCTTCCATCTCATTCCTTAGCTTATAAGCGTCCTTCATTTCCCCTTTCTTGGTATATCCATCAATGAGAGCATTGTATGTAATGGTATTAGGCCTCTCTCCCCTTCTCTGCATCTGTTGAAATAGCCTCTTTGCCTCAACAATGTTCCCTTCTTTGCAGTGAATATGAATCAAAGTGGTGAAGTTGACTACATTAGGAATCACTTGTTTTTCTACCATCATGAACAACCATCTCTTTGCTTCCCCATGCCGTTTCAATCTACTCATCCCACTAGCCATAATGTTGTAAGTAAATACATCAGGCTCAAAACCTTTCTTCTCCATAACAGCCAGTAGCCTCAAAGCATCATCCATCATCCCCTTTTTGCAATACCCATGTAGAAGTGTATTAACTACCACCTGATTGACAACAATTCCTTGACTTTGCATATCATTCACTAACATCTGAGCTGCCTCCATCTGCCCAGTCTTGCAGAGACCATCAATTAAAGCCCCATAAACATGTGCATTCGGAACAAGTCCTTTCTCATTCAACTGATCAAACAAAGCAAAGGCTCTTTTAATATTCCTTCTTCTACATTGCCAACTAATCATAGAAGTGTAAAGATGAACATCCGCTTCCACCCTTCTCTCACGCATTTCATCAAACATCTTCTCAGCTTCTTCATGCTTACCAACACATTCAAAATACTCAATCAAAACAGTATAAGTAGCAGCATTATACTCCACTTTCTCCTCCTCCATCAATCTCAAAACCTCACTAACAACTTCAAAATCCTTCGTTTTAACGTATGCATTTAAAATTGTATTATAAGTAATAACATTAGCCATTACCCCTTTACTGACCATTTCATTCATCAACTCTCTACCTTTCTCAACTTCCCCTCTATTGCACAATCCATCAATCACAATTGTCATAGAATAAACACTAATTTCCACACCAGACTCAATCATTCTCCTAAAAAACCCCAGAAGGGAATCACCTTTACCACACTTCCTCAATGCAATCAAATACAAAATGCAAGACCCTTCATCAATCTTAAAACCCATTCTCTCCATATAATCAAAAGCCCCACTTGCCTCTTCAAACATTTTGTTATCTACACAAACTCGAAAAAAGAAATCACAAAACTTTTGGAGAAAGTTTGAGTCATTACACTCAAAACCAACTAAAGAAAACATTTCCTCAACTGGGTATCTAAGATTATCATCAAAGATAATAAACTTCAATACTTCTTTTATTTCTTTAAATTTTCCATCTTTATACAATCTGAGAATGAAGGTTAAATGGGTTTTAAGATTGGGTTTTTGGGAAGCAAGAGAGAAGTTTGTTTTTAAAAAGTTGAAGAAGATGGTACATGAATGAAGAGGGAGATTTGGGTTTGAAATAATGAGGTTTATTATGTTTGAGTTGAGATTGGAGAGCAGAGATGGATTGGTTTTAAAGGGTTTAAGGCCAGAGTTTATGAGGGTTTGAGTAATTTCTGCTGCTTTGTTTTGGTTTTTTAATGAAGTGGAGTTCCTAGAGAGGGCTTTCTCCAATACTTGTGAGAGTTTTTGAGTTGACATTGATGGTGTTGAATTCTAACAATTGACATGAAAGCTTGTTTTAACCTCACCACTCACCGGAGCTCGTTTCGCTGCTGACGGAAGATGTGTTACCTTTTTTAAGTCCTCCAAGCGACGTCGTTTAGTTTTCACTTTTTTATTTTGAAACCCTTTTTTTTTTTTTTGCTGAAATATTTAAATTTTGCACTTTGGGTTTAAAGAAAAAAAAATCCTTTTTTGGTTGACATGTTTATTTGAGATAAAAATAAAAAATCGTTGGGTTTTGTTTGAAAACAAAATTATTTTTAAATTACATAATTTGAGATTTTTTTATTTTCGTATCTATTTGGTATAAAATATATATAATATAAAAATTATCATGTTATAATTCACATTAATACTATAAATATAAAATATTTTTTTGTTAAATTTTTATTTTTTATTTTTATCAAATTTATATATGATTTTATCAAAATTTTAAATAAAATTATTTATATATTTTTTTCATCTATTTTTATATCATGTAATTGTGTGAGTGTCTAATTCGAAGGTCTCCTTTCAAGAAAACACTTTGCATACAATTTAATATATTATTAGTAGAAAAAAAAATAAAAATAAGCACTATTGTTAGATTACAAAGTTGAGCATTGAAACCTGCTTGTAGGCTTTGGCCATACTCATAAGCTGCCATAAGCTTAACAACAGATTTTAGTCTGGCCGGAGGATGAATCGGTAAATCTGAAATGAATGTCTGTGTCTCTATATCTAAACAAGCAAATCTACATATGCACCAAGTCCTTGTTTGGTAAGGCATTGCTTGAGCTTGTATGATGCCCAGCTCTCTAGCTGCCGCACCCTTTCTTTGGATATTCCAAACATGGTTCCTATCCCAGACAAAGAATTTTGTTTACTTTCTTCAATACTAAATCTCAGCCCTCCTTTCTTTCGGACTGAGAACGCTTAGAAGGTTGCGCACATGCTGCCTCATTAGTTGCTTTGCCACACTAACATCTGGGATCTCGATGCCGGTGTCCGGTGTTACGTCCGGCAAGCATGACAAGAACAAAGAATGTATACATAAGTGGCAACCTTCCCTCATAAACCCCCATTAGCACGAAAATCTGCCTGTCTTTGGCCATTCACATTTTTAATCAAGAAATTACATGTTGCCACAGGGGAATCAAGCTAGAACGAGTGTGCTACCTGAAAGGTGGTATCCTGGTCCGCCCATACAGGTTGTTGCATAGAAAGTGGCATCCTTGTTGTGAATAGCAACTTATCCAATTTCCCAACTGTTTTTCCAACACGTCTGCTTGTTCTTATTTGGAAGGACAATGATTTCCTTCTTGTATGTATGATCTCTTTGGATCCAATAGTTTGCTCAAGATGCTATATAGAACAATAAGTAGGTTCTTTGCTGGTGAAAGGTGACTCAAATATATAACAAATCATGTGCCTGACTTGAATTGAAATTGAAATTACCGGCAAACGAATGGATCTGGAATGTTGCATTATAGACTTTGTAATAGTTTGCCTTATCCACCAGTAGGCATAGGTGGCAACACGGCATCCGACTTGTGGTTTGAACTTCTCAACACTTTTCATAAGACCCATACTTCTTTCCTGCAGCAGATCCTGAAGGCTGAGACGACGGCCCTGTTATTGTTTAGCAATGTGAACCACCATGCGCAAATTCGCATAGATCAAATTTTCCCGGCTTCTGTTTCCGGAGTGGAGTTCTTCCTGCAAGGCCGAACAACTAAGATCCATGGCTTCAGCCCATTCAACCAAGGTTGGTTCACGCCTAAATTGAGATTGAAGCTTACTCTTTACCTTCACTAATCTCATTAAATCCTACAGGTGTTACAGGCACCAAGAATAAGACCTTTCAGGAACAAAAAAAAAGTTCCCTATTTCCATGCTTCAAAAAAAAGGATGGATTGCGAAAGGCACCTGACTTGAATAATCAATTCAGACTCTTCTTTAGCAGTCAAGACTTGTTTAGACTGTCTCATTAAACGTCTTGTTGACCTAACTGTAACTATTTCCTCCTCATCAACTGGCAAATTAAGTAGAGGAATTAGCAGACCCCAAACTGCAATAGCATTAGATATCGTCCTCAATGGATTAACCTAAAAGGCTAAAACGCTAATGCAACAAGAAGACAAGATAGAAAGTAACCTATTAGGAAGTGAATCATAAAGATCTAATTTGAGGTCCTCAGCGAATGATGCAGCTCGTTCAGATGCTGACAAATTCAGCTTTCTTAGCAGGGGCAACTATATTACTTGGTTCGACAACCATAATCTCCTTGGTATCAGCTGCAACAGACTGCATATTCAAGGAATGTTCCCTAATTCCAAGAGCGGTAATCTGTGATGAAGAAAATTAAAGCAATATATGACGATGTAATTAAGGTGGGAAAGGATAACAGTCACAAGGATTTAATGCTGGAAGCAATAAATGAGATTCAGTTCATGTACAACTGCCTAAAATCAGGCCAATGGAGCAACTGCTGTTAAAAGACCTTGTGAGAGAACTGATGTAGGAAAATGCCTAGCTACCGAAGTAATCGGAATAGAAGTTGCTGCAGGAGCAGCTTGCTCATGAAACATCGGAACTGCATAATTGTACATATATTGTCATTCATAACTTAATATCATTATCTCTATGCACTTGAGAGCAAAACACATACATTCATGCATAACCACACATAGGCAGTTTTCTCATCTATATATCTATGTATCTCCATATACATACACAAATTTATCAAGAACCTGGAAGTTTCATAAATATATATAAACGACATCATATATCAAAAAGTTTAAAGACTGCAAGCAAAAAGAGATGAATTTATGCATTTAACTTGAAAGCAAATTGGCCAATGAAGTAGCAGTAAGTTTCCAGTTCTACCATGTGAATAATTCCCAATTCCAGGTCTAACAATAATTACGAACATATCCTTAAGGAATAAAAAAGCTTCAAAAAAAATTCCCAAGGAAGTTAATTTAACAGGAAGAAATATCAAGCACTGAACGAGTAGACTATTGTTTGCTACAATGTAAATTGGGTATTGTACAAATGATCATAAACAACAGAACACATGTTCCAATAATATAAATAAATGTTACCTGAAGAAGATGATGAAAAGACAGAATTCTTAAGTTGGGTTCTTGTAGAAAAAGTTGGAGGAGAAGAAAGCAAATTCCTTGCAGCTTCCATTGATGGAAATGTAACCATGGTTCTTCTCTACAATGTAACCTCAAACATTGTTTGGTTTGTTCTTCTCGTTATGTGCTTGTTTTTGTTTGTTACTTGATAGAGAATGTATGTTCAGAGGCTTTTAACATTGTAGATAAAGAAGAAGCCGAACACCGCTCTGCAGACAAAAACAAAATGGCAAAATCCAACTTTTGTAATATTTTTCTTTTATTCTCATATTATAACTTCGTTTTTTTTTTAAAAAAAAAAAGAAATTGATTCAAATCCCCTCTTCAAATAAAAAGAAAGAGTTCCAAAATCCAAACTAGAGAAATGACAAAGACAAACGACTTGAAAATTGTTAACAAGTAACATATTTAATTTACTGAAACAATTGAAACAAATCGGTCAAAATCAATTCAAGCAACAGACATATGTTAATTGTATAAGTAGCTGGACAAGCTTAGTCAGCAAAGAAAAAGTTTCATCAATCTTGACAAAAAAGAACATGGCAAGCATGTGGGTTGTTGGTAGTGATGATTAGGCTAGTTACCAAAGCAACTATGATTGAACTTTCTTAATTCAAATGATTGATATACCTTTATTACGGTCGGTTTGATTAATTTAAAATAAAATAAATAAATTTATATATTTTTAATTATATATATAAAATTAGTAAAAAATATAATTTTGATTTTATTATTTGAAATTAAATTTGTTTGAAGGTTAATTTTTTTAAAAAAATACTCTTTTCATTTTCAGTTTTTTATTTTTTTGAAATGTTTTAAAATTATGTCTTTTTATTCTTAATATCTAAAATTTTTATTTTTTTAATATTTAAAAATTATTTTTATGATTTTTTAAATATTTTAACATTAAAAATCATAAAATTTTAATTTTATAAAAAAATTTAATTTTAATATTAAATACATTAAAATTAAAAAAAAAAATTTTGTGAAAGACAAAACAAACAAATCGCAATATCGGTTTTAATCGGTTAAAAAACCGCTCTTATGAGTACTGCGCATGGATAGAATTACTAAAGTGTCCAATGATCTGATTATTTGATCATTCATAAAGTTATAATTAATGGGACCTACCATCCACACCCAAATTACAGAAGGGGGACCGCCAAAATCCTGCTAGTGGGCCCCATGTCACAAACATCGAATCCCCAGGTCGACACGTAAGCTAAATATTCGCGTGAATATAAATCCCAACCCATCATCTTTAAAATGAGGCTTTCCTTTCCTCTTCCTGGGGTCACCCAAAGCCTAACCTTAACCCTCATGGGCTCTGAAATGGTTCTTCACAAATTCACCACCACCACCACCATCTCAAACCACCAGAACTCGTACATGAGTTCAGTGGTCACTAACGAGTCAACTCCCAAGACCCAACTTGGAAACCCGTATCTTTGCTTTCTAAAGACCGTCACACCAAAGTGAAGGGCCGTGGTCGGATGCCGTCCCTATGCGAAGCCCGGATCTTCCAGCTAACTAGAGAACTCGGCCGCCACTACGACGGTGAGACCATTGAGTGGCTGCTCCGTCAAGCCGAGCCCTCTATCATTGCTGCCACCGGGTCCGGGACCGTCCCTGTATCCCATGAAATCAACTGTGCCGCCGGACCCACAAGAGCTCCAGCTTCTTCGCCTTCGGTGTCGTGTCAAATGCACCCAGTAGCGGTTGGTAGCGGTGGCGTAGTGACGGGAATGGATATCATGACGGCGCCATCGCCGAGTTTTCAATTGGACTTGTGCCAGCCAATGGGGCTTCAGTATTCAGCTGTAGGAAGAAATGGGTATCAACATTTGCCGTTTACAGCGTTGCTGTTGCAGCTGACAGCGGCGGAGGACGTCGAGTAGGAGCAGCAGGTGGAAGAGGATGAAGAAGAGATTAGGCATCATGAATAGAGAGACGGGAAAGTACAGCATTTATATAATCTGTATGTATATTGGACAACAATCATCATCTAGAAAACATTGGACAATCTATCCGTACAAACAATTCTCAATTAGATTTTCTTTCAGGCATAAAAAGGCGTTTGGATAACCCATTTTCATGCATGAAGAAACAAGTCATAAAACTGCAATTACCTACACAATATTCATGGTTTTTATCCAAATTTTTATGGGCACCAAACAGCCCATTTCAGGCACAACACCCAAATTCTACCTCTTCCGAGCACTATTGCTAAGCTCCTATACCAAAATGAGAATGTTCAACGGTTTCCCATAGAATTTGCGCTACTGTCTGAAAGTTTTTCACACTATGTGGAGAGAGCACCTTTATACGTATGAAGAAAGAAGAGAATTTCAGATACGGGAATTTATTCAGTCAGTTATGTAATTTTAAATTGAATTGATTGAATTATATTATTTTATTTTTATTAACAAAATTAAAATTTTTAATTTATTGAAATTAATGTAATTTTTTTTATTAATCAAATAATAAAATATATTAAGTTAAATTATATTTTTAATTTTTAATTTTTTATATGTAAAACAAATTAAATAAAATCATTAAACAAAAATATTCAAACAACAAAGCATCAATTTAAAACTCTAATAACATTGAAATGAAATTTTTAGTTTTATATATAAATTTTATTATATTTTGATTAAAATTTTAGTTAATTCAGTTTGAAAATTGAATTAACCAAAAGTCAATTTTTTTTTTAAAATCATTTTTGATAACCTATTAAAATTAATTTATTGATCCATTGATTACCTGAATTAAATAGGTTTGATTAGTTAATTCCATTAAAATTAAATTATTAACATCCATAATTTCAAGATGATTATCCGTATGTATGTTTGTATAGGACTTTATAATAAATCATTAACAATTTAATAATAAATTATTAATAATTTAATAATAAATCATTCATAAGTTAGTAATAAATTATTTATAAATTATTAATACTTCAATGTTAATTTAATAGTAAATCATTGATAATTTAATAATATATTATTGATAATTTAGTAATAAATTACTAATAAAATAGTTTTAAATCAATTATAACTTAATTATTAATAATTAATAAATTTTTTATAATAAAGTTGTCAAGAATTAAACTTTTATTACTAGCAAAAACAAAACTACAAATATTCTCTTTGGAGGCTAGAATAAATTTACCATGAACTTATTCAATATAAAATTTAGTAAAAAAAATATAAATTTAAATGAAACAATAATAATATTATATAAAAAAAATTACCTTATCCGAAAATTAAACTAATCTATTATTAAATATATGATGATACAAATTTTACTAATAATTATCATAAATATATCATAAGTTACCAAAAGTTATTAAAATTACATTAAGAAGTTATCAAATTTATTATCAAAATTTTGTTAAAGATTATCAAAATTTTTAATAGTGGTTACTAAAATTATTCCATAAGTTATCGATTTAATATTAAAAGTTACCATATTTCCAAAAATTTTATCAAAACTTAATAAATTTTACTTATAAAAAATACAAATTAATTTATTATTATTTGTCATTGTTATAAAAAATATATCAAAAGTTATCAAATTTACTTATATTATACCAAAATTAAAATTAAATTTTTCTATTTATCATTATTATTATAGTATAAAAAATTATTTATTAAAATAAATCTTTAGAGATAAAAAGTCAGGACAATTATCCTTACGTATAAACAAAGGAAAGAATTTCGGGACAATTATCCTCATGTATAATTGTATAGGAAGTTTGATTGCATTGTTCAAGTTATATCTATCCAACTGAAAAAGCCGCAGCTGTGGTTCACTTAGACCTGGAAGTTAGCTGCTGTTATCATGTTACCAGCTATGGAGTCCACGTCCGAACAAGCTTTTCACCGCTTTCTTAAATCTATAATCCTTCCTTTATGTTTGCTTTTGGTTTCCCTGGAGTTTTCCACAGATGGCAAAGTTTTCAATGGTGGTTCAGGACTTCCAGATCCTGCTGATGCCTCCACAATCTGGTTCAACATTTCTAACACCTCACTCATCTTAGGGCGTGACTTTGGATTTCTGACTACGCATCGTTTGGCCACCATGGCAAGTTTCTGAGCAGATTTGAGCTGGCATTTACCTTTCAGTCTGGGGTCCAATATCAACTGGAATTTCTTCTTATCAGATAGGTATGGTTTTATCCATGCCAAAAGATTTTGCTCATTCTTGGGACGTTTTTTGTCTAAAGGGCTCCTACCGGTAATGAGTTCATAGAGGAAGACACCATAGCTCCACACATCAATCTTGGATGTCAGACGTCCGGTCTGGATATATTCAGGAGCTGCATATCCCATTGTTCCAACAGCCTGTTGAAGACCATCAGTTTGATGTTTGTAAATAGATTGATGATTGTAAATAGATTGATGAATAGATAGGGAAATATTACTATGAACTCCAACAAGCAATTTTGATAGCATAAACAGAACACTAAACACCTAACGAAAAACAAAAACCAACTAAAGGGATAAACTTCAAGTAATAGATTGATCATTTTGCCTGAACATACCGCTGTTGAGATATGAGTTAATCCTTCCGAAGGGCCCAACCTGGCTAATCCAAAGTCTGATAGCTTTGCATTCCATTGCTCATCCAGAAGGATATTGGAAGACTTAAAATCTCTGAAGATTATCTGTAGTCAAATACAATAAAGAAAACCTCGATTAGTATTGTACAAAATTGTCCGGAAAAGTTTTCTTTAAAATTACTACTGGTTGTGGCAACTGTGAATTCTCCTTAGCAGGGGATTTCAGGAAAAAGAATTAAAAGAAGAAAAAAATGTCAAAGGACGGCGCATATCATGCAAATGCTGAGTGCATTGGAAAGGAATAGGTTGAAAAACCATTAATATCTGAAATGGAAACTTAATAGCATTATACCTGGAAATCCATTCCTTCATGTAGGTATGCTAACCCACGAGCAGCATCTTGGGCTATTTTCAATCTCATTGTCCAGGAAAGAATTGTCTCTGACCTGACAGATAAATGGTTTTCCACACTTCTATTGGGCATATACTCATATACCAAAAGCCTCTGGATTCCTCTTTCATCATCTTCAGCACAGTATCCCACTAGCTTTACAAGATTTGGATGCTCAACCACACCAAGAACATTTACTTCTGTCACCCACTCCTTGTGCCCCTGTCAATTAATAGGTGGGATACTAAGTTTATAGAAGTCACAGGAGCCATCTTAGACAGTATTTTGCATGTATGCATCATAAACATTAAATAGAGTCTATAGAAAGGGGGGGAGGGGACCAGCAGCAGAGCAAATTCAATCGGGATTTCTGGAGAAATATACACTTTTCCTAATCTTTGTTTAATACCATTACTCACTGTAACGAAAAATCAGTTTTGATTAGTACTTTAGTCAAATTCATTGAATGATTAAAACATCCAGCTCTACCTGTTATTTGTTAGAGAATTTAGTTCTGCTAAATTTTATTAACAGGCACAAAATAATGTTCCAGGCCGGAAAATTGAATTCATATCGATTTGTATGCATATGATATCAAAAGTTCTACACTATAACAGCTCAAAATATCAATCATCTCCACCTATGACATTTTAAAAGATAAATAAATAGAAGGCAAGTTAATTCAGAACGAGAAACTTTCTATATGTTGTCAGGTTGAGGAGCCTTGCCTGCATCCCCCTTTTACCAAGCTGTTTCACTCCTACTTCAATCTTTTGAGATGAATCATCAGGACTCTTGATAATCCCCAGGTAAACACAACCAAATCCACCCTCTCCAAGCATGACAGAGCGGCTAAAATTCTTGGTGGCAGACTTAAGCTCAGCAACTGTGAACGCTCTTAGATTGGTAGGTCTTTGAGACATGCTAGGAAGAGAGGACTTCCCCAGGGTCCCAGTGTTCCTGCCTGAGACATTCGGAGAGTTTAATTCAGACCCAGACCGACCTATTTCACGATCAGTGAATGTTGAATTTATAGGCCGAGTTGAAACTGATTTGGGGGTCTTTGGTTCGTCTTTTTTATACCAATTGAGGAATATAAAACACTTCATGGCCCTCAAAAGAATTAAACACACTTAATTCCACAGTGCAGATCCAGATGCTAGGAAGAGATAGAAAGATATGATGAAGCAAAACAAAGACTACATACAAAACCTGCAAAGTTAAGAGCTAAATATAAGAAAGCTTATTCCTGCAGAAGAATAACTATGATGCTATGAGTTAAAAGACCAGGTAACTCAAAAGTTGATTTTTTTACATGCCAATAAGAAAAAACATACCATGAACAACAATTTTCAAGGATAGCTAAATTCACATTTTTATTCATGGAGATTTGAAAAATGATGAGTTCATAGCCACCTGGATTTAACAAAGTAATTTAGAACCTATAATTTCCAAAACCCTATCATCATAGTGAAAAGCCAAAAGAAAAAAAAAAAAACCAAAAAGGTTCTAAATTCTAATAATTCCAAGGAATCCCACATCTTCAGTTTTAGAGAAACAATCACTTTTCTAAGCGACCCAATTTCCAAACACTGCCTTTTGGATCATATCCACAAGTCTAGAAAACAAACGCCAAAAACATTGAATTTTGTTCCTTATTTTCGTAACAACTAAAAATAAAAAATCTGAATATAAACCAAAAATGAAGAACATTGTCTTGAGCTCACCTTCAATTTTGTTGGTTGGAAAGGCAGAAATTTGGCTATTAAGCTTGAAAAAGCTGCCAAATTTAAAGATTTTGAGAGAAACCCATTAGTCCAATGCCCCCAAAAGACCTCAAAATGCTTGGAGATTTGGAAGAACGGTGTTCAATGCCCCCAAAAGGCCTCAAAATGCTTGAAAAAGCTCCCAAATTTAAGGACTTTGAGAGAAACCCATTAGTACAATGCCCCCAAAAGACGTCAAAATGCTTGGAGATTTGGAAGAACGGTATTCGATTCTATAGATAAAGTCAGTACATGGCAACTTTGTAGCTGGGGCAAAAGTCATCTGACCAACCAAAATTTATTAAAAGGAAAAAAAAGCATAATATTTTGCATAAAAATAAATAAAAACCAACTAAATCGATTCAATTATTTGAAGAGAAGTTACTCATGTCAAGTATGAACGGGTACTTTGACAACGAGAGGCAAAAACAACGCACACAAAAAGCGAGTTGTTTTAGACTTTTTGTGTTTAGTAAGGAGGAGGAGAGAGGAAAGTCTTGTTCCGTGGTGCTTCCGATGAAAAGATGGGAGTCATCAAAGTCAATGTCCTTTTAAACAGGAATTTTTTGGATCATTATCTTCACATTCTTAAGATGAATGGACACCATTGCTATGGCTATTAGCAACTGCCAAAAAATTGAATATTTACCTAAAACGCTGATGTCAGCACCATATAACCATGTTTATGAATTTTTTGGTATTTTAAGATTAGTCGTTTTTCCAGTCTGTGATCTGAAAGTGCAAATCAAGGTGCAGCAACAATGTCTCATAGGTAAAGTCTCTGTTTTTTTGTTAGTAGTAACTTTCTTTGGGTTAAAAAATTTCGGAAAAAGGAAGTTGTTTTGGGAAATTAATAAAAGGTGCGTGAAAATCTTGTAAAAGGGTCGCAAATATCTTAGTACAACCTTACGTATTGAGTTGAGTTTACTCAATGTCTGCTTTAGTCATTGGTATAGTTTCTGTCTCTGAAGCATTGGAAGGTAATGTTTTGTTTAAATTGGGTTAGCAGATGAATCGTTTGATGTAAGTTGTAAATGATCTGATATAGCAAACGCACATATAGGAGTGTTTGTTATTTCAGGTGTCATGCACATAAAATTATTGCAGTAGGATGAGTATAAGGATCTTTTTATTTAGTGAAAAATGATTTTCGAAATATAATTTTTATATTTATTTGATAATAAATTGAATGATTAATAAAAAATAAAATTATTTTTATGAAAATTATCTTCTTTTAAAAGGAAATATAATTTTTGAAAAATAACTACTTATTTATGAATAAAATTATTTATCAAGTTTTTGGAAACAATTCTATTTAAGCCTGACTTTGAATATGATTTTTGCAAACTCACACTTAATTTGATATGACTTAAAATATTATTATATTAATAAAAATATTTTATTTAATTTTACATAAAAATTTAAAATATTATTCTTAAAAATCTTTTAATATTTGAATTTTAAATTTTTTTTATAATTTCACTCAAATAAAACCTTAAACATGATATTTTAAGTTTAAACTTTATTTAATTTGATGTGAAATATTATTATATTAATAAAATATTTTTATTTAATTTTAGTTCAAATTTTAAATATTAACATTAAAAATCGTTTAATATTTTTAATTTTAAATATTTTAAATATTTCAAAAATAAATAGTATTATAATATTATTTTAATAATATTAAATAATATATTTTTAAATAATTAATATTAAAAAATATATAAATATTATTTTTTATAAAATGAATATCTTCAATAATTTAATATTTTAATTTAAAAAATATTATTTTTATATTATATTTATTAATGTATTTATATTATATTTTAATAATAAATATAAATAAAAATATTTTTGTTGTGATTTAATAATAAAAACTTTTTATATAAAAATAACTATTTTAATAATATAAATATTTTTAATATTTTAATAACAAATATTACTATTTTATTATTATAATATTAATAAAAATAATATTTTAAAATATTAATATAAATAATAAATAATTTTGTTTTAAGTGTTTTTTATTATTTTAAACAAAGTCTAAGTTTCACCTTCAATGTAGCCACCCATTTCTCCCCACCATATCTTCATTCCCAAAGCCATGGACACGCAGTCACTCCACCCTTTTGACCAAAACTCTTTTGTCTTCTCTCAATAGTCTACAGCTCTCCAAATCAGTCTTCATTGTTGGTCTGCAAATCTTCAATATCCCATTTCCAAGTTTTTTTTTTTTTTTTTTGGGTTGGTTTGGTCCACGAATGTTCATGTATGGCCTTGTTTGAAATATTAAGGCACCTTACCATTGATGATGCCATCATTAATTCACACAATTCAATTATATATAGGATTTGTTTTTTCTAGATCTAGCTTCAGTTTATCAATATGAGAGGAGTTATTAGAGCCCATGCTTTGCCTTTTCTTCTTGTTTTAAGTTTGTTTCCTTTAGCAAGGTCTGTGGATGGGGATGATTACAGTCAAACAAAAAATCCTGCCCACCTACCTCTTCTAACAAACCTCATCTTTAGACTGCTTTCAAATCTAACCATAATATTAAGCAAGATAATAGTCAAAAATTGTGTTTCTATAGTTCACAATTTTCTGTCAAATTGATGTAAGTGATTAAAATTTAAAGTTTAAATATAAAATATTCATGTTTGAATTTTTATTATTTTTTATTGATAGATGATTTGTAAATTAAAAAAATTAAAAAAAAGTTCACAATTTTTTTGCTGTTTTGTCTCAGCATCATGCTTGTCACCCTTTCATCTTTCTTTTTTCTACCTAAAAAGGACCTTTCTCTCAAGTGGTGAATGCATGTTTTCTTTCTTTTCGGAGAAGTTGATTGGAATGGAGCATTTAATTTCTCAAGAAATTTGTATTTCTTGACTAATTGTGTCAAGAAGAGAAAAGCTATGAAGCTTTAGTCAAGTCAAAGGCCATTTCCTTTGCACCTAGTCTTGTTCAACTGGTATGTACAAAAAACTTGTCATTTCATATTCTGAATTCTTTTTACCAATGAACCTCACCTATTTCTTCTTCAGTGGGCATTGTTTCTTCCTGTTGTTCTGGGAATTTTTGCTACACAAGGTGGGCTCTAGAAGCTTTTGCCATTGCAAATGCTCCAAGGTTAATCTCTACTAATTTCTGATTCATTTTTCCTTTCTGTTTTCTTCCCATTTTTTTTGTTTTTTTTCTTTTGGGTAACTGAGCAGTAACCATGAGCAGAACAAATCTTTTCCAATTCAGACCATCCTTCACCTTCCTCAATGTTTGTTCCTGATCAGGTACTCCTCGTGGTTCGTTGAGACAAGGCGGCTCTGATCTTCATGTCTGGAATCATTGTCTAATCATCCTTCCTATCAATGCCATTATTGCTCGAATCTTCGCTTTCTTTATACTTATGCCAAAGGAGTGCCATGTGAAACTTTTTTTTTTTGGTTTTTTTTTATTTTTTGTCAAAATTTTTTATATTTAACAAATATTTTTTATAAATTTATTTTTTGAAATCCGACCTACTTTACATCAACTTTTTTTTTTTAATCCTTTTAGGGATAAAATATTATTTATAAATAATTAAGATATTATCCATGGTTCATCTATTCATTTTTCATTATGTAAAATTTGATTATTTTAACTTTTATTTCGCATTCATTAAAGGTATTAACGTGATATTTTATATTTATTTATTTTATTTTTTTTTTGCCAAAATTTTTTTATTTAAATAGATTTGTGAAAAAAACTCAATCAATGTGTTAACGTGGCATCTTAATTTGTATTTTTTATTTCATTTTTAATTCATAAATTTTGTAATAAATGAGTTGACTTTTTTAAGATTTAATTTTTTTTGTTTGTGGGAATAGCTTGATATCAAGAGTAATATCAAATGTTTGGTTGTTTTTTTTTTTTTTTTCATTTTTCTATTTTTTTCATAAATTTGATAAATAATTATTTAAATTTTATTTTTTGCTGACCCACGTGATATTAAGGGTATACTATTAAACCATTTGATTCTTTTTTGCTCTACTGATATTTTCTTTTTTTGCTTTTTGATTTGATTAATATTTTAAAATATTTTATTTTTTAAAAAAGTGAGACCCATTAGATCTAATTATTAAAAATAAATATTAATTTTTCATTATTTTTCTCCTTTTAATTTGATAATTATTTATTTTATATTATATTTATATATATTATTAATAAAATTATTTTTAATATCTTAATTTAATAAAAATATTATAGTATATATAATTAAAATATAATCTATCTATATGTCCATCTATCAATTATATAAATTTGACTCACTTCCATTATTGTTTGACCCTTATTCAATATATGTTAACGTGACACCTTTTTTATTTTTTAAAACATTTTTCCTTTTTTTACAATTTTTTTTGCTTTTCATATAGATGATTTTGTTAAAAAAAAAAATTTGGTTGAGGTGTCCCATGGGATCCCAATTCGTTTTTTTTTTCCCATTTCAATGTTTTTTTTTTTTTTTACAAAAATTTGCAATAAAATGAGCTGGTGGATAGACAAAATAATTTATATTTAATAAATTTCAATTCGACTTAATAGATAGCAAGTAATTTTTCTCTCTTTTTTTGTTTTTCATGTTTTTTTTGTTTTTTGTTTTTTTTCATTTATTATTTTTAATTATATCTGCTTTGTAAAAAAAATAATGCTAATAGAGTTGTTCACATAATACCTTGCTTCTTTATTTCCTTTGAAAATTTTTATCTATTTTTTGTTTTTTAATTAAATCAATTTTACAATAAAATTAAACACTTTTGTGAAAAATCGATATCAAATTAATTCAAGTTGATTTTTTAATAAAAATTATGATGGATCAAAAATAGATTTAGTCATTTACCCCAAGCTATCTTATGATATATATATTATTTATTTAATTTTATATTTATATATGTATTCATTGTTTTTTGTTTAAAACTTGGTATTAAGTGGATCTCACACATAAAAAATGAAAATTTTATTTTTTATAATTTATATTTGTGAGAATAAAAAGCCAATTTAGGTATCTACATTCACTTCTATTTGGGTTTTTTTATATATATTTGGCCTTTTTTTTCTAAAATTAAATAAATAAAAAAAAGAAATGAATAAAAACGATAAAATAAAAAATTTTAACCCGCGAGAATGCACAAATGAAAATGACAAAATAACCTATACTTCACGGGTTTTAACTCGCTCTGATACTATGGGGTTGGACATTTTTAAAATCAAAAGTTGAGTCATATTTTTTTCTAAAGTGAATTAGGGTAAAAGTCAAAGTTTTAGGTTGTACCACTTTTACTGAATTTGGTATATATAAAAATATATTTGTTATTATTTATTTAATTTTATATCTACATATTTTATATTATATTAATAAAATTATTATTTAATACTTTAAATTGAAATATTAACTTAATAAAATATATTATATTTATATATAATTAAGACATAATTTATATTAAAAATTATTATTTTATGAATATTTTACTAAATTAATTTTAAATTTAATCAATTATAATTCATGAATATATAAATCAAATAAAATATAATATTCTAATATCAAATAAAAATTAAATCAAATAAAAATCTGACCTTATCTATTATAATTCGCCTCGGCATCCCACCTAATTTATAAATAAGAGTCCAAGATTTGAACCTAAGGTTCTTTAATTTGGGTCCACGACCTCTAAAGGCCTGAAGGACGAGCTAGTGATTGGCAACTGGCAAATGGGTGGCTACATCGAAGTTGAGGGTTGGAATCCAAAGAGAAAATTATTAGGGAAGAGAAAAAAATTAAAAAACTCGAAAATCGATTTGTAATGCTTTGTTTTTATTGATTTTTTTTTTCAATTCGAATTAAATTTAAATATAATTATATATTAAATTTTAAATTAAAATGTAAAAAATTGAAAAAAAAAGAAAAGAATTGAATTATATATTTTAAATTTTTATAAAATAAAATAATAATTTTATATAAAAATATATTAATAATTTATATTAAAATAATATATAAAAATTAATAAATTAATAAATAAAATTTGATTCGATCAAATTAAATTTTAAAATTTTGTAATATTATATAATATAAAAAAATAAATCGAATCTGATTATTCTCACTCTTAAAAGTATCCCTTCGTCAGCCGGTCATCGTACATAAAAGGCCGAACAAACCCATTACCAAACACACACCAGTTTGTAGCATTTACACGCTTCCAAACAGGCCTTTATGACATCTAACGCCCTTACATCTCCGTCAAAGGATTCCTACGTGGACAATCCACAAAATCATTTATTTTGAAATATTTTAAATTTTTTTTTCTTGTCCTAGGTCACAGGCAAGGTAGCCCGGACATGACAGACATGTTATATTACCACTTTGACGAAAAAACAAAACATCCTCAAAAGAAAATCAAATAAAATTTGTAATAATATAAATTCCGTTTCGATTCCGTCTGATAAAAATAAAAGCATCCACTTCCCTCTACTTCTCTTCATCTCCTTTCGCTTTTTGGCGGTTTGGGCTTTTCTCCTTCGAACATTCGCTTAATTTTTTTTTTTTAACATAACATCCCCACACTATCTTTCTCAAAGGTCAGATCTTTTTCTTTTTTAATTTAGATTTTAAATCTGTTTTTTTTACTAGATTTTACCAGATCTTTTTTCCTTTTTATTTTTTTTAAGAATTTTCTTTTGAGCTGGAAATTGAGTAGATCGGAGAGTGATAAGTGGTTGGCGTTTGGTTTACGGATGAATGAGGTATGTTTGGTTTTTGTTTTGTTTTATGTGTTTTTTTTTTTTTTTTAGTTGAAGGAGTTGTGTTTTTAGTGTCTGTTTGGTTGTTGAGAAAACATCGGGAAAAGGAAACTGGAAAAGAAAAAATCTTTCTTTTTTGTCTGGTCCGTTTTATTATGCTTATTTAAATGGATAAGCTTCTCCCATTTTTTTTTTCTCTTCTTCTTGCATAGATTAGAAAAAAAAGAAAAACTTTAGCTGAACCAAACAGCTAGATCAGGCCCACTTCACTGTACATATATACTTTTTATTTCTCTCAGAAATGTAAGTAAAAAATTGCAAAATCGATTCTTTTTATAAAATTTTCCTTTCAGTTGATCATAAAAAACTTTTTTTTTTTAATTTTAAATCCTAGTTGAAATTCCACAGTCTTGATTTTTATCCTTTTCATGTTTTGTATTAAGATTTTACTCTTTTTTTTATTGAAAAATTCTTGAATGACTGCGAGCTTGAAAAACATCGAACAAATGTTTCTTAAAATCTAAAATGGGGTTTTGTTTCTTGGTGTTTGAAAGTAGACTTATGATCCATTACTACGTATTTTTTGTCACTATCATTTCGTTTAACATTAAAAGGTAAGAGGAGTTATGAGCTTATTGCATTATAAGGGTAAATGGCTATTGAGTTGACAGTAGAACTGGCTATGTCATGTAGTTTGCTCATGAGTTAAAATGCGAAGTCAAGAAGCAAGAAATACAGGAATGATGAAGGAATGTTAAGAGAACATGAAGAAGAACTTTAGATTCTTTTGTTGTTGTGTACACTATGTTTAAGGCCAATTTTGACACCCCAAAAAAGGAAGAAAAAGATATTGTCTTTGAATTGAGTTTATTAGTTGTAAGATGGCTAGTATCAGGTGCAAAAGTGTTTATTTCTTTATTTTAAATTCCTTCTTTGGGTTAATTGATAGAATTACGGATGTTTGTTTGCCCGGGTGTATTAAGCCAGCCATTTTCTGATTTCCAGCAGACGATAGTTTTATAAATTTTTTTCCATTTGAGTGTAGGGAAAATTTGGATAGATGATTGCAGGTTTATGTAGTACAAGTTAAGGTTATAAAATGAAAACAGATCGGAAACAACATTTGATAAAGAAGCTTTGCAACATGAAACGTCAAAGGGTAAGGGAGTTTCTTCTATCTTTTCAATTGTTGATTTATCATTCTCTTCAATTTTGAAATTCTTATGCATACCATCCTTAGGTTTTGCAAGTTGCAGAGCACTGCGTATATGTTGTTTATTTAATTATGAAATTTGATCTATTAAATTTTGGGAGCAACACAAAACATAGAACGCCAACCTCATCCAAATTAATTATTTCTTTCTTTTTTCATGTTTTTGGTAGGTCTCTATCTCTCTTTTAAGTTGGGCCTACCCATGATAGTTTCTTAAAAGAAAAAATCAATGTTCAAATAATTCATCCTTCTTTTTATGCTTCTCTGTTTTGCCATTGATGCTTAGTAACCTTTGCACTCTCAGGCTGCCCCTCAACATCTTTTTTTTTGTGGCATTCTCCTTAAATAAGCTTGTAAATTTGATAAATCCTACATTACTCCTCCCTTCTTCCCCGGCTTTTGTTCTCTGGATATAGGTAGATCAATCCATTGTTCCTGGCTTGGAAGATGAAGCAACTGAGGTTGCGCATTTACTTGCGGAACCTAAAAGTGAGCATGTTTCACGAGATGGAGTCCTATGTTTTGGGAAGGATAATTTAGAGAAGCACTTGAAAATGGAGGACTTCTCTTGTGCCTTCGATTATGGCTGGAAAATCAATTATGGTAATGCTCTTAATGACTTGTCGATATTCTTTTTGCTGATGCTTTCATTTCAAAAATTAAAAGGAAATTGGTCTTTGAAGTGCTTCTAATTTGTGAATGGTAGCGTGCAGAAGGATCTAGAGTGTTTGATAAGTGTTCTATGGTGGGTCAGTATCATCCCTTAAAAAACAAACTCATAGGATCTTACTTTGGGTGCATAGCTATATCCATGGGGGGAGAGGGAATCAAAACAACATAGTAGGAGCAAAGAGCATGATTTCTAGATGCATGAACTTGCTAACATGCTTTTGTAGAATGATTGAGTGTAAATTTGCTCTGTCCTTAGTTCTGCACATGCACAAGCAACATCTATTATGCCGTAAAATAAGTATTTCTGGTGATATTGGGCTATTAACTTGAATTGTTTGAACTGATATAATTGTGCTTGGTATCTTTCTCTAATTTGCTTTATGGTCAAATCATTTTCCATTAGTGGTGTGAATAACTTAAAAGTTATTGTAATTTGTTTAAAGTCCTGAAAATTATGAGTTGTGCATGGATGTGGGGACAGGCTTGGACTAGAAGTTCTAATACTTGCTTTCAAATTAATTAATTGGCATAATCATTTGAAGATATGAAAATTATGAGTCACACAGGGACGTGGGACAGTCTTTGAGTAGTGTTCTAAGATTTGATGTGTGTTTCTTGTTGACAAATGTTTCTCAAATGTTGCACTAAGGATAAGACAATGCAGTAGTAGAAACTAGATATTGAGTCACCAACTTTACAAGTCCACTGTTCAACACAAGATTGCTTTTGTTCAGATTTTAATTTGCAATTTATATAGCTATTCTTCTGATGCTTGTGTACCTTTTGTGATTCTTCATAAGGTGGGCTGGATTCTATCCATGGTCAAGGAGGAGATGATTTGAAGCTTGAAGTATGTATTGATTATTTTTGAAGCTTTCCTCTCACATCCAAGTCATTGTTTGATGCATTGTTTTCTTTAAAATTTCTGTCTAATACTTTATATGTGTTTGCTATTGCTTTTCCTTCTTTAATTTTTTGTTTATACTTTTGTATTGAATTTCGTATTTACTATATGCAAACATGCATAGGTAATATGCTGTCATCTAAATACTGCTTTAGTAGGTTCTTGATGGATTGCTGGATGAAGTTGATGAAGTGGATGATATTCATGCAGCCCATGATATCTCTGGTGCATGTGAAGATTTTCTTTTGGGTGAGTCATATCTTTGCTTGTGTTAATTGCCTACCAGTTGTGTGCCATAACACATGATCCTCATATGTTGTGTTTCCTTTTTTTTTCTTCTCTGTTTGCCTTTTGAGTGCAGATATTGAATTTCCTGAAAAGCATTCTGTATTGGATTGTGGTCCTCGTGAAGGATCAACTTTGCGTAACTCAAGTTCAGAAAGTCATTCACCAGGATTTAGTGGAAGTAGTAATAGTGCTGGTGGCATATCAGAATCATCAATTCCAACTGTTCAAGAATCCAACAGCAAGAATGGTGTGCTTGGGAATATGGTCAGTTGTGATTTACATCGTAACTTTAGGAGCAAATATGGGTGTCAGGGTCCGGTTTTGGACACCATTCGACCTACTATAGAAGATGTGCAAGATCTTGATGTGTCTGATGATGATGAAGAACCTTTAGTAAGTTTTATATTGTCTAATAGGAAAGTAAAAGGCTCTGTTAAAGTAACAAAAGGTGGCACTCTTCTCAGACAGAAGAGACTGCGGAAGCCTACCAGGAGGTATATTGAGGAATTTTCTAGAAATTCTACTACTGGAAAGAATAAGTGCCTTAAAGTCAGATCACAAGAAGAATTTCCTCAAGTGCCATCCAAATCCCAACCTCGGAGAGGACGGCCCAAGAAAATTGTGCCGAAATTGGTAGGAGAAGTACCACTATCTAGAAATAGTTTCCTCTTGCCTCCCAGCCTATCTTTTGTCCTCTCTTTGATAGCTTGTTTATGTTTCTATTCATCATTTTCATTTATCTAGATATTGGCCTTGAATACTGTGGAGCCATGATGACAACCAGAAAAACTCATAAGTAATGAGGAAAAAAACAAATATTGATAAATGCTAGCTGCAAATTGGTGATAGTTGCCTTCAAATACCTAAAAAGCCATTGGGCATAAGGAGATGGTTATTTCACATTCCTCTCTACTCTCTTGTAACACATTTGTTGACATCTTGGCAGGGCTTATTATGCATTTTGGTATAGGAATTAATTATGGAATCATATTGGCCCTGATACTTGCTTAATGATGTGAGGGTTTCTTATATGAAAACTATTGATGATAAGTGACTATCAAGGATGTGATACTTTTGTTCTCACTTGCACAAGTAGATAACATTCTTGTTCCTTGATTTTTCCTTTTGTCTTTGGAAGTAGTGAACCATACACCTTTCTTAAGCATGGTAACGTAAAATTTTAAGAGTATTTTCTTGATTTCTGTGCAGGAGCTTGAATCTGATTGTGAGTTTTCTGCTTCTGAATCTGAAGATCAGCATAAGAGAACCAAAAGATCCAAAACGGCATGTGATAGGAGGAAGCATCAAACGATGTGGACCCTTGCAGAGGTGATTAAGCTGGTTGATGGAATTGCTCAGTATGGTGTTGGAAGATGGACTGATATAAAAAGGCTTCTATTTGCATCATCTGCTTATCGAACCCCTGTTGATCTGAGGGTACCTCACTGCTTTATCCAGTCATATGGTGTCATCTTGTTTTAAAACTTGAATTCTTTTTAAATATGGATACTCTCTACAGGATAAATGGCGAAATCTTCTAAGATCTAGTTCTGCACATGGACACAACAGGAGAGAGGTTAGCTTTCTGTTTTTCTTTTTCCTTCTCCATTTGCACTATCATTTGCCTCCACCTCAAAAGGGTGGTATTCCTCACTTCAAATTTTGTTATCTTTAAATTATTCTATTTGTTTAATTTATGTTCTCTTGATTGCAATTATCTCTTTAAATTACTGAGAGAATGGAATCTGAATTGCAAATGCTTGGAGTCTTTGTATTTATATCACCAAGGGGGCAAGAGCTTGCTGCTGACCTTGGATTCTTAAGGATGCAAATTATTGTTTCAAGTAATATAACTCCTGTCATAATGCAACAAGAGTAACATGTTTGAAACACTCCCTTGTGATAAAAATATGAAATTGTAAGGGATGCGTCGGTAGGACAAAGATTTACTTGTGGTCTTCTACCTCTCAAATTGCATAATCGGTATTGATCAGAGTATGTTTCATTAAGAGTGTTTTATAGTGCATCTTACGGTATAATTATAATTTAAAATGTTAGTTGCAGGTTCAGAATAATGTGAAGCATGCTGTACGTCCCCTACCAAAGCCTGTGGTACGCCGTATCCGTGAACTGGCTACCATTCATCCATACCCAAGGGTTCGAAGCTCAAAAATTTCATCTGTTGATTATGTTCCTTCATCCAAACAACCGACAACTAAAGTTGCTCCAGTTTACTCTCCTGCAAGAAATTTACGTGGGAAGAACTGTTGTTGAAGAAGCATTTGTGTAATTTGCAATAAAGCTACTGCAATTCGAGTTTAGTTGTAAAACAGCAGTGTTCTTTCCTACAACAGCCCCTTAACATCTGCACATATAAATGCTCTCAGATCATTAAGAGTATCCGGTAAATGTTGCACTAGTGAAAACAAATTTTACAATTTTAATAGCCAGGAATATGGCTAACTGAAGTCTAAAGAGTAGATTTTCCTTCCATGTTGTTGCATGTTACTATCATTATTGACTTCTCAAGTGTTACCGTCCAACTTTCATACTGTCGGATTTCCAGGGACAAATATAGGTTCCCTTGCTCTCAAGTGAAGCATTTAGTCAAAAGCAAGCCAAGCCTTGGCCAGCGCCAGAGAGGGCTTGGACCATGGGGTAAAACAATTTAGAGGTTTCCTTGAGCCCTCCCTGTAGAATTGTGATGTTGCCATTCTAGGATTTGTAGGTGAATATTGTGGCTGCCACCAAGTCCCAAGCTTTCAAACCCTAGCCCGGAGGAAAAGGCATGAAACGTGACAGTCTCGGGGTTGGTCCAACTAGGCAACGATTTTACTGTTGGTTATTCTACCCTGTGGTACACGGTCAAAGTTTTAGCAAGAAACTATGCACAGGGAATTCGGGAAACATGAAAGGAAATACCACAATTCACAAGTCAATGTAAAAAAAAAAGAAAAGAAAACCATACAAAGCTTATATACAGCTAGAAAAAGTATAGCCAACTATCCCATTCATGGTACCTACAATGTTATTAACAAGTTCTTGTAGCACAGAAACGATAGCATTTATCAGAGTAAATATGATATCCACACCATGCATAGCAGTTAGTTAATGGTACTATTTTTATCCACTTCCATCATCACCGTTATCACCATTATCTGGAGAATTGTTACCCCAATCATCGTATTTTTGTCTAGGAATGTTGTGGTGGTTGTCTATGTTTTTCTCCAAGCTGTACGCAACCGATCTGTTCCTCCTTCCTTCGACAGCTTTTCCTTTCCCAACATGATGTCGTTGCTCTCGTCCATATATTCCACCGATCATGGCTCTCCTTTTCCTTCCCATGCAACTAGAACTCACCATGATCACAACCAGAAACAGCACCAAAGCTTCATGCCCATAAAAAAGGAATAACCTAAAGTAACATATCTGTCTAATCCCTTAGATCAGGTTTATTATGTTACTTTCATCAATCTGTTCCATTGATGCTTGTAGGATTGATTGGGCTGTGAATTACTTATCTAAAACAAATCAAGGAGAGTTTGTGATTATAAAACACTTTCTGCTAAAATGAGTAACAAAGTTGAATCATAGTTATTCTCAACAGCGTTGTTGTCCTCGTTGTGAATATCATTGTCAAAACTTTAGGCTTCCACATACCAGAATCTCCAATCACATTGACATAATCTGGCACGAACTAAGAGAACAATCTAAATTATCATTCTACCAACTCTCAGCCTTGGAGAATTTTAATTGGGTAAAGATTGTAAAAATGTTGCAATATTGAAGCATTTCTATTACCAGAAGCTTCCATCTGAAGCAAGTGGGTGAAGTAATTTCCGGAATTCGTGTCAGCTATAGGTTATAATCGAGTTTGGAGCCAAACCCATTTTTCGACTAAAATATCCAATGTCCTAACCCACCAAAAGGACTTACTTTCAAGGTTCCAACATTCACTTGTAAATAAAAATCTTCCGGTTCTATATTTGGACCTAACCAACCTGTGTCTAGGAAGCATTTTTAAAATCAGGTCCCATCCCAACTCATATGTCTAAGATTATACGGTGCAGAAAGTGTTAAATGATGATGTAAATGTTGGAGCCACCATGAAGTGCCACTTGAATACTTGATTGTTTCACAATGGTGGTCATGAATAGTTCATGTATTGGTGAAGTACTTCCACTTATTATCTTTGGGACAGAAAAATAAAAAACGAAAGAGAAAAGTGTAGAAGATGTGTTTAGGACTGCTAATGTGGATTCATGAATGTTGCTTAGTTGAATGTTTCATGTTGTTCCTGTTTTTTTGGTGTTATTCATGCTGATGGTCATGGCTTAATCTTAGGACTATGATTTTAGTGGGTAGTTATTAATTAGGCTTTAAATTGTAATGTTTATGATGTTAAGAAATGGTGACAGTGAGTAAAGTTTTCTTTGCTTCAAAAATAACAACATTTGGTATCAGAGCTATTTTCTTAAGGGATTTGTGTGTGAAATTGACGCGTCATGAAAGCTGAAGCCAATTTCTCCGTAATTGCTTCGGCGATGTTCGAGGAGACAACTACCAGATTTAGGCAGTACGTATGGAGACATACTTGGAAGCTTTAGATCTTTGAAAAGCAGTGGAAGAAGACTATGAAATTTTTGCACTTTCAAACAATCCCAACATGGCACAGATTAAAGCACAGAAAGAAAAAAAGACAAAGAAATCAAAGGCAAAGGCCTGCTTGTTTGCTGCAGTTTCATCCATCATCTTCACTCGTATCATGTCTCTGAATTCAGCAAAAGAGATAAGGGATTACTCAAGAATGAATATGAAGGAGATGAAAGAATTAAAGGGATGCAAGTCCTTAACTTGATTAGGGAATTTGAACTTCAAAGAATGAAAGACTCCGAGACGATTAAAGATTACTCCGACAGGTTTCTGAGTATCGCAAACAAAGTAAGGCTTCTTGGATATGAATTTACTGACTCAAGAATTGTAAACAAAATTCTTGTTACAGTACTTGAAAGATATGAATCAACCATCACTGCCTTGGAGAATACAAAGGATTTGTCAAAAATTTTCTTAGCAGAATTGCTTAACGCTTTGCAAGCACAAGAACAAAGAAGACTGATGAAGGAAGATACAACAATTGAAGGAGCTTTGGTAGTCAAGCATCAAAATGTGGCCAAAAGCAAAAGAAAGAAGAAAAAGGATTTTGAAGGAAATGGGGCAAGTACTGCATCAGCCAATGCAAAAGGAAAGAATGAAAATCAGAAGAAATCCTATTCACCTTGCCAATATTATGGAAAGAAGGGTCATCCTCCATTTAGATGCTGGAGAAGACCTGATGCTAAATGCATTAAAGGTAATCAGATGGGGCATGAAGCTGTTATCTGTAAAAATAAAAATATGCAACATGGTGAAGATGCAAAGATTACTAATCAAAAGGAGGAGGATCACCTGTTCGTAGCTACATGTTTCTCCGGCATCAAATCAAGTGAAAGTTAGCTTATAGATAGTGGTTGTACTAACCACATGACACATGACAATGATCTATTCAAGGAACTAAGCAATGCAAACTTATCAAAAGTTCAAGTTGGTAATGACAAGTACATAACTGTGAAAGGAAAATGAACAGTTGCAATTTTAACTTGTTTAGGTACAAAGTTCATTTTTGATGTATTATATGTCCTTGAAATTGATCAAAACTTGTTAAGTGTTGGACAACTAATTGAAAAGGGTTATAAAGTTATGTTCGAAGATAAAAGTTGCTTGATTAAAGATGCAGTTGGCCAAGATATTTTCAAAGTAAAAATGAAAGGGAAAAGCTTTGCTCTAAATCTATTGGAGGAAGAGCAAACTACTTTCCTATTCAAAGAAAATATCACTGAAGTATGGCACAAGAGGCTCGGGCACTATCATCATCAAGGGCTGCTGTAGATGAAATCCAAAAAGATGGTAAATAATTTTTCAGAACTTGATGATCATATTCCAAATTGCAAAGCATGTTAGTTTGGAAAGCAAAGTAGGAAACCATTTCCCAAGGCAACATGGAGAGCATCAAAGAAGTTACAATTAATTCATACTGACATTGTAGGCCCATAAAGAATGTTTTCTCTGAAAGGTAGTCTTTATTATGTTGCATTCATTGATGATTTCACCCGTATGTGTTGGATCTTCTTTTTAAAATATAAGTCAGAGGTGGCTCAAGTCTTCTGGAACTTTAAAGCCAGAGTTGAGAACGAGAATGGCTGTAGAATTCAAACTCTCAGATCAGACAATGGCAAAAAGTACACCTCTGAAACATTTACTCATTTTTGTGAAGAAGCAAGCATCCAACATCAATTAACCATTCCATACACTCCACAATAAAATGGAGTAAGTGAGAGATGGAATAGATTTATATTGGAGATGATACGATGTATGCTACATAAGAAGAACCTGTCAAAGTAATTTTGGGCTGAAGCAGTAAATACTGCTATTTTTTTGTAAAACAGGCTTCCCACAAGAGCAGTGAAGGATCAAACACCCTTTGAGGTATGGTATGATTATAAACCATCTCTGAATTTCCTTAAAATATTTGGATGTTTATGCTTCACTTATGTTCCACAGACCAAGAAAGATAAATTAGATAAAAGAGCACTTCTAGGCATCTTCATTAGCTACAATTTAGTTGCAAAAGCTTATAAAATTTTCCAGCCACAAACTGAAAAAATTATTATAAGTAAGGATGTGCACTTTATGAAAGATGAAGAGTGGAACTAGGATGATGCAAAAAAGATGGATCCAACCTTAAAAGAGCACAAGCTCAAGTTTCCTAGCATTGGAGACTATGAGAATGAAATGGTGGATGACAGTTCTATCAGAGGTACAAAACTACTTTCTGATGCTTATCAAAGATGCAATATTACTGTGTGTGAACCTACAAATTATGAAAAGGTCAAGACGGATCAAAATTGGATTGTTGCAATGAAGAAGGAGCTATTCATGATTGAAAGGAATAAAACATGAGAGTTGGTTGATCGACCCCAAAATAAAAAAGTAATTGGAGTCAAATTGGTGTACAGAGCTAAGCTTAATGCTGATGACTTAATCAATAAGTATAAAGCTAGATTTGTGGTCAAAGGATATACTCAAATACTCGGTGTGGACTACTCAGATACCTTCGCACCAGTCACTAGACTTAACACCATCAAGCTTTTACTTATCGTTACAGCATAAAAGAATTGGAAAGTGCACCAATTAGATGTCAAGTCGGCATTCTTGAATGGTTTTTTACAAGAGAAGATTTATGTAGAACAACCAGAAGGTTATGTCAAGGAAAGAGAAGAAGACAAGGTTTATCTTCTTAAAAAGGTACTTTACGGATTGAAGCAAGCTCTAAAAACTTGGTACAGTAGGATTGATGAATATTTATAGAACTTGGGATTTGTCAAAAGCTTATCTGAATCAACATTATATGTCAAGCACAATGGAGCTAACATTCTTATCATCTCACTATATGTGGATGACTTATTTGTGATAGGAAA